ACTGAAGTATACTGATTCGTCAGTGTTACTTGTACAGCAACACGCAAAATGGTCAGTGTGGCAAAATAGGTTATACTGAAATTTCAGTGCAAAATTGAAGCATATGCTGAATTTTCAGGGAAAACGAAAATCTGAGCTACAAAATCAGCGTAATCAGCGTGTTTTACGCTGATATCTGAGGGCCTGGAGGTTGGCAATAGCAAGAAAAGAGAATAGAACAGATGCATTTTCTTTATTAAAAGGGGAAAGGGATATATTACAGGAGGCAGCAGCTAGCTGAACCAAGGGGAGACCTTCTCGCGCTTCTCAACTCAACTCAATACACGATGCGCGCCTCCTCCTGGTCGAACTCTACGGATCCTGCGTCGACGGGGCGCATGAGGTACATGGCGAGCAGCTCCGCCACAAACGCCGCCTGCAGCGGCAGCTTCTGCACGCGCCACAGCAGCTCGGGCGCGCCTTGGTTGGCGTCGACGGCAATGATGCTCTCGTGCAGGCGAACGAGGTGGTCCAGCTTGCGCTCGAACTCGGGGTTGTCGACGTCCAGCACGGCGGGGAAGATGCGCGCCGACGTGCGGTTCGTCTCCTTGATAACGTGCAGGTCGAACTGCTTCACGTCCAGCCCAAGGTTGCGGTAGAAGGCGCCGCGCTGGTGGTCGTTGAGGTACATGGTCACGTACACGGAGAGGCAGAAGAAGCGCGCCCACAGCTTCGAGTCCCATGAAGTGAGGAACTTGGGGTAGCACTTGAGCATGGCCGTGATGAAGTCGCCGTGGCGGTTCTCGTCCTGGCACCAGTTTTCGAACTTTTCAAAGATCGGGTAGCACGCGAACTCGGGGTGCGCCGTGAGGTGGCGGCAGATGGTGATGTAGCGCCAGTAGCCGATCTTCTCCGACAGGAACGTGGCGTAGAGGATGTACTGCGGCTTGAAGAAGGTGTACTTGCGCGCCTTGGTCAGGAACCCCAGGTCCAGCGACAGGTTGAAGTCCGACAGCGCCTTGTTCAGAAACCCCGCGTGCCGCGCCTCGTCGCGCGACATGAGCGTGAAGATCTCCGCGATGCACGGGTTGGTCTTCTTGAGGCGGCGGCCCAGCTCCTTGTAGAGCAGGAAGCCCGAGAACTCGGCGGTGCAGGAGCGCTCGAGGAACTCCACGAAGATCTCGCGCGCGCGGCCCTGGATCTTGTCGGCCGCCTCCTTGAAGTCGGGCGAGCGCACGAAGTGCGTCTGGTTGTAGTCCGCGCAGAACTCCTCCAGACACGCGTCGAACTCCGCCTGGTTCACGTACGGGTTGATCTCGCGGTTGAACAGCTGCGCGGGGTAAAGAGGGGGGGATCGTTGCGGATCGGGGGACAGCGGGGGGGAAAGGGGGTGTGGAGAAGGAGAAGCAAGAATTATTAGTTATGGCATTCAAACAATGGAAACAATGCAGATCCATGTGTTTCCGTGTTCGAGGAGTGGGGGATCGGGAGAACATGCATAAAAAAGCGTGACGAAATGCGGCGGAGCAGATGCGACTGGGCGTACCGCTTCCATTTCGTCGAAGTCGGTGGTGTAGAAGCGCGGCGTGGGCAGCGTCTCCTGCGCGGGCTTCTTGGAGCCTTCCCTCGGCTTGTCCTTCCCGGCAGCGGCCGCCGCCATCACCACGCGGCTGCTAGGCGCGGAGCACCCGAAGCTGTGCTTCACGCTCGGCGCGAACGAGCTCGCGGCGCTCAGCTTGCTGCTGCTCGCCGTCATCGCCGCGGACGGCATCGCCAGGTGCGAGGAAACGGGCAGGGACGAAGCGAGAGCCGCCATGGTTGCTGTTTATGGAACGGAGAATAAGTAGCAGCTGAAGCAAGAGCAACTTGCTTGTTCGGAGTGAGCACAGCGAGAGACCCTCATTCGGAATGTAGCAACAGACGAATGCTTGCTTCTGTGGATACTGAACGATAAGAGTCCCCCACTACGCGAACGTCGAGCAAGCAATGTAATTCTGTGTTAGAAGGTGGTGGTCGAAGTGGGAAATTCGGGGGAATTTGAAGTTCCAATCGCATCCCCGATTACGTCCGTTTCCCATACAACCTAGGTTGGAAGATGGTGTAACCTTACGTGGCGAGACGCGGTTTTTGTGACTTGTGTCAAGGACCTAGAGGATATGACAGCGCATGTACCGTTTTTTATTCTGATTGGTGTACATGGCGCGGCAATCTCGAGTCCTCGGGTTTCTTGTGCCAGCGACCTTGTCAACTATAGGTGGAATCCCAAAGGTGGACAGCAAAGCAATTCACGTTACCACGTGTCGGGGCATTCCAATGCCCCCAAGATTGTACTGCTGCGGGCACCGATGGCGGAGCGAAGGGAACGCCTTCAGACAAACCAATGTGCCCTTCGCTCCGCCATCGCTCAAAGCGATTCCATAATGGCCTGTGCCGATGTGTTTGGGCGTGAAGTTACTTACAATATCATAAATTCATGTTCAAACACCGGTAATCAATCCTAGGATCATATTGAGAATTCAAAAACACTATCTACCGTTTTGGATTTATTGCGTTATTAAATACGAAGAAAAACACATACGATGAAAATCGACAAGAATATGTCCGAATGGAGTTGTTTGAGTGTGTAACCTTTCAGCTTTCAAGAATTCAAAAATACACTCGTATATATGATGTAATTGGTCAGCGTGTAGTTCATATAATTCACTCCCTATTGAGACCGCAACTCACGGCGATTTTTACAGTTCTTGGTGGGTACAGCACGAGAGTAAAATATTTCCCTGGGTGATGTGGTCGGACTGGCGGTCAAGTAGGGTGTAGAATCTCGCGTAGCCCTCCCGGGCGCTGTGAAAGGTTAACTGAGCTGAAACCATCAAGTGACGAGCTTGTGTTGTGACTTGTTTTGGTCATGACGCACCCGCGTTACCAGCCCTTTCTGTTTCCGCCAAACCATTACACCTGATGCTCACCTCCTGCACGCGAAATTGCCTCGTACCGGATGGAAACCTTACACCCGTGGGTTTTGACCACGTTACAAGCACGTCGACCAATACGAACCACAGAAACTGAAGTTTGACTGACGAGACCAAAGTCAAACAGTCAGCGTTGAGTTACAATTGTTTTTTATAAGCCCTTTTTGCCCGATGCGAATTGACGAAATCTTCAAGCGAAGCGAGAATCGCTTATAAGCCCAGAGGGTAAGGCGAGGTCGGGGGGCTCAACCGGGCATCGTGTGTACAATTTCTTTGTGATGTCGGAAAAGGGATTCAAAAGCAATTCGATAGGTGGATCCGATCGGGCAGTCCGGGTGGAAAAGAAAATGTATACAACTTCAGGCACCACACATTCCCTCGAACGCGGTCAATTTTGATCGGGAAGCCATTCGTGATTCACGCAAACCTGATTTACCGTACTGGAAACGTCCTTAGCGCTCTCCACCACGCAATATTTCCCTTTGGAGTCAAACATCTTATCCAAATGGATTATGGTTGGAACGCGTCTCACCCAACCCCTCCCGCTGCGAGCGCTTGATGGTGAACCCTGCGGTAACTCCACTCCCGAATTGTGCCCTTTCAGACTAACACAAATACCCACAAGAGTTTCTTCCAACACCACTCCCACGAATCCTAGCTCCTTTTATCGCTTCCTGAACTCCCTTCCACATCCGGCCAGTCTCGATCAAGCCTCGTCTCGCTCCTAGTGTCGCTAGTAGTGATCATGGCACGTTTCAACCTGCTTGCGGCTCTCGTTCTCCTGCTTGCCGTCACCGTCACTCTCGCATCGTTCGCTTCCACGGCTGCTGCTCGACCTGTTCGGTTTCTTGGCACTCAGGGGTATACATCCGATGGTAAGTCACAGAACCACTGGGTATTACGCTTGTAACAACGAAACTGCGCGACCAAAAGGTCATTAGCGCGGAAGCTTGGTGAGTGTGGATTCGTTTTTGGAATGATGATAACCTTCAGGGACTCGTCCCGCGTTCACGCGGTGTACGATGACGTTGCCTTTGCAATCATGGACTATACAAACACACATTGTCGAGATCCTCAATGAATCCCCGGGATTGCAATGTGTGTTGTCGACGTCCCGACGGGGCAATGTGTGTTTACAACATTGTGGATTCCCTGTGGAGAAGGTGGTAAATTCCCTTTCGCCCCTCCCATCTTTGATTGGCAGTAGGTGACCCGCATCGCGAAATACTGAAGAACTCCTCCCATGCTTGGCTGCGAGGGATGAAACAAGAAACGGATGGCACTCCCACCACGTGGTAGCTGCAGACGTTACTAAGTTGTTGGTTCTAAGCGCATCGCCCACCCCCTTACCCCTCCCCCTCGTGCCTGCTTCGTGCGTTTCCTTTCCCTCCATTTTTTCGGGCTTGCAGGGAAGTCGTGCATTGAGGTCGAGAGTATAAAAGGCATTGACGGTTACTGCACGACACAGACGAAAGAACCGGCGAGCTCCTGCCAGGATAAGCTCAACCGGTGGATCGCGGATTGCAACAATCCTAAAGGTACGTTTTCGACACCAAAAATGCAGTCGTCTCTAAATTAAGCAAACAAACAGGTCAACTCCCTGATTTCGTATTTATTGGTTCTTATGCTCTGACTCTGTTGTGGTTCTCCTGCCACAGGCAAAGGCTTTTGGAAGACGGTTGGAAGATATTTCGGTATTAAGTGAATCAAGAAACGTGCATCACAAGCTTTCTGGAGGAAGAAGAACAACAAGATAGGGTTTTCTTGTCTTATTAGTGCATCTTGGTTCCTACAAGGTTACAGGGGAGGGTGGTTCGTAAAATCCCACGATCTTCATGCAGGAGTAACTTTCATGAGGTCGTGTCTCTGCAAGCGATGTTGTAAAGTGGATGTTTGTATCAAGGTACGGTAATCCCTTGCTTGTTTCATTTGGAGTCAAGTGCCTCTGGTGTACAGACCAGAAGTCACTACCGTAGTTTAGATCCCTAGACAGAAGTTGCATGACTGCAAGCTGCGCTACCCTTCAGTCACAAATGCATGCAAAGGCACTGTTTAAACATCCCACCCATTCTCAATACCCTCCCTTTCCTCTCTACTTCTAACCGCAATGAATGTTCTTGCCGCGTTATTGACCTGATGCACATGGCAACCCCATGAATGTTCCCACCTGGATGCAGTATGCCACAGCTCCACCTCCTCCACCTCGGCAGGCCTCACCAAGTCCTGGCGAACACAGTGCACTGTCAAGCGGGAGTCACCCTTTGTTGGCTTGTCGTAGCCCCCCACTGCCACACAGCCCATGTCAACATACCCCTCTGGAGGGATAGGCCTCCATATACTGACTGGATCTTGAGTTTTGGTAACTCGATTCCTCCACACCTGAGACATTTGGAATGAGTGTGGGACTTAACAATAGAGGTGGGGAGCGGGGAGGGAAAGAGGGGGAACTAGTAGGCCACTGGTAGGTTGGTTTCTCAAGCCACTCACAAGAAAGTAGTCCTTCGGCGTGGCAAATGCTTTGGCGGAACCAGCAGCCAGTGAAGTTGGCGTGATGGAGTGCACCCGCACAGCTGGAGGGGGAGTCAGGCCTCGCCATGCCACATCCCCCAGGGAGACGTACCTGCATAGGGCACATAATACGACAACAAATTCTGGATGTATCATGCACTGAATGCTTAATATTTGGAAAGAGATAAGCACTGGCATCTGGCCTACCCTTCTGGAGGCACTGGCTTCCAAATCGCAAAATGCCCAGCTTCAGCAGCATCCTGGAAAGGGATTGAGAGATAGACCCATCCAATGTTAGTGAGAGCAGACCTGCCAAACCAAACCGTCAAAAACTGACACTGCCAGTCACAGACGTAGAAGTAACATACTTTTTGGCAAGAAGAGAAACAGAAAGATGGCCCATCCTCAACCACCCATGCACGAATGAATGTATCTGTCTCGACGTGTGATGGAAGCGAGCGAGAGGTCGTGGGCACCAAAACTAGAGGGTGGGCCATGGTGAGTGGGTTGGATTCACTAGAAGACAGTGCACACCGGCCGATCGCCAGTGCCGCCTCGGAGGTTCGAACGCTGTGCTGGCGACCGAACCTCCTGGACTGTGTTGGCTGGATGGGCCGGGCTGATGAAGAGGTGAGAGAGAGAGAGGATTGGCTGCTGGCAGCGGACAGGAACGAATGGTGAGGAGTCTCATTTGGGACCTGCAGTATAAGCACAGAGAGAAGTCAATTACAAGCAAGAGGATATAGTCATCAGAAACTAACGTTGAAGATACAATCACCTGTGCTGCTTGGATATTGACTGGTTTCGGACCATAGGTCTCAAATGCTGAGGCAATGTCAGCCAGCACGTGCTCAGCAGGATGTGATTCTCGGCAGCGGATGATGGCATAGAGGCGTTGAGGAGTAGGTTCTCGCATATGCACACAGACCACTGGCCGAGGGAAGCTAGGAATGGGCTTGGTTTCCAAAGCCAGAAGGTTGTCCCAAGAAACATCCCACCGCACAAGGGATGGACCTTGCACCAGGGCAAGTGAGTCAGGCTGGCCTGCTGGATCCACAGGACACTGAACAGATGATAGATGCACGGCAGGAAAAAAGGATCGGATTGGATAAGCATAATATAGGTGATTTTTTCCGGCAAACAAGGCAGCAGATTGAAGCATGCTTAATTGGGAGAACCAGGTTAAGCAATGGGGGTGGAAGAGAAGGTCAACAGCATAACCAAAGATGAATAACATTCTGACTCCACCCACCTTGAGCAACTCAACCCACCTCGAGCATCATCACCCTGCGACTGGTAATTAGTAGGATGCGGCAGTTGGGCAGAAGAATGTGATTCACGTAGGCATCTGAAAGGGCGAACTTGGAGTGGTCCCTGAAAATGTCATGCCTCCCAAAGTATGAGCCAGCTTCGGCCATGAACAATACCATCTGGAAAGAGTGATATGAGTGAATGCAAGGGTGCCAAGAAAAAACGAAAATTCATAATTAACACCAGAATTGTGAGGCTGGGAATGACGACGACGGTAAAGTATGGAGTAGGAAATCACACCAACATGAGAGAACGAGGGCAATTTAGCACTGGAAGGAGATTAGAACCTGGCCAACTGCGTCATCCTTGCTGTACTCGTGGACAACCCCATCAGCAGAGATCGCCCTGGGCAGACGCAGTCGCTGCAGCTGAGGCTTGCGCTGCACCATGCGAGCACATGAAGCAGTAGACGCATCCACGCCAGCGACAAGGAACGCCAGAGAGTGCAGACAGCCTGTCACTGGATGCACCACAAGCCCTGCCAAGCCCTTGCTGAGCCCAAGGAGCAGTCCTGGTGGGCCATGGGTCTCATAGCCGGAGCGAGAACGGACAAGGACATCAGTCACCCCTAAGGCCACTCCCTTGGCCATCGCCTCAGCACCATAAAGAAGGCCCTCTCCAACGTTGTCCAGCTGATTGCCAAGAGCCTGCGTACACCTCAATGGAGGGAGGATGGCAGCCAGACGTTGAATCTAATTCGCTCTTTTGCTTCCAATCGCTCATGAAAGAATTCTGTTGCACATCCATGCAATGCATGTAGAGCCAGCTGATTTGCAACGTGATTACCTGCTGGAAGTGCCTATTGACCATGTCCTCTTTGTGAACGAGCCTCGAAGCTCCATGTCCGAGAGCAGTGAGCGTGGAGCTGATGACCCCCAGCACGTCCACACCGGACAGCAGGCGCAATGACTGGTGCAGGATATCCCGCAGCACATGCCGCACCACTGCCTCCATGAAGATGCTCCTGCGCAGTCGTCTCGACTCAGCTGTTGCCCCTGACAGCCGGACCTGAGGTCAATACAGAAGGGCAGACACAGTCAGGAAAATTCAGATCCGTCAGTCACTTTGAACGTTGAGGAAGTGAGAGATTTGAACTGGAAACAAAAATTCCAGCCAAAAGCTGCGAGCATTGCCGGTGCCTGTGCGTGCATGGGAAAATTACTCACCGGCATGCGCTTGGTGTTGCCTGCTGCAGTGACGAGACTGTTCCATGCGCCAAGGAGCTGTGCCGGACGGGATGTCGGGGCAGCTTCAAGCGTAAGCTTGAGGTGAGCATCCGAGACAACAAGGCGGCTGGAAAGGTGCAATATCAATACAGAAGGAGAGGTTCCCAACAAAAGGGGTGAGATGGTTAGAATTCTACTGGATGAGCAATACCTTGCAGCGGAGATTGTGCCAAGTGGACAGATTCGAGATTAGAGTTCCAGAGCCAAGGTAAGAACAGCATACAAGCTAGGCTGTCACTCACTCTATGCGAATCATTGGGTCAACCTGGACAGCAGCTACTGCCCCTCCGTCAACTCCACCACTCTCTGCTGGAGAGAAGTGCTCCCAGCAAATGCTTTCCAAGAGCTCCCACAGCCGCCACACAATGGCCTCATGTACATTCACTTGCCACGGCTCCTGTGCCAGCTGTGTTCATGCACGCATGCAGGCAGGTGATGATAAACATTAAAGAGAGTATTGAAGGAACAGGGCGTGGTTGGCAAACAGCATGGAAACAGGGAGTTGAAAAGAAGATGGTTGCAGTGGCGCGGACATACCCAGAGCGTGAGTTTTGGGTAGCAAACTTCGTCTTGCTTCATGCTGCCACGAGATAAGACAAGGAACTTGAAGACATAGTCCTTTTCAGGCATGCCTTTCTGCTCCAAGAACAGGAGCACCGGCAAGGGAGACAGAGGCAGCTGGTTATCAATGCGCAGACTCTTCAGTATCAGCTTCACCCTGCCACAAAAACACAGGAGAGGTAAAAACCTATGGAGGCAAGAGAGCAGGGACATGCTCCCTGCTGGTATGATTTCTCCAACCACGGTGAGGAGAACCCCACCTGCTTGAGTCATCTCGCCCGTCGTAATGGTATTCCAGCAGGAAACCTTCTGAAAACGCATACAGCAATTCCTGAGGTCGCTGGTCAATGATCGACAACCCCACACTCATGAGGTCCAAACTGATCTCCATTCTCGAGCCCTTGTTCACGACATTGGCGCTCTGCTGCTGCTCAAGAGTCGAGCCAGCAGGTGCAGCCACCTCACCATCCCTCTGCTGTGGCTGCTGCTGTTGCTGCTCCCCCTCCTCCTCCCCGGTCATACCTCCACCATTCGTGAAGCGAACGATGCGGACACTATCACAGTCAAATGACTGAACGCGCAGATGACCAGCAGCAGGCAGAGGAAGCGAGGCAAGATCTCCTGGCTCTGATAGATCGTACAGCAAGGTGTCTGGAAGGTTCACCCTGCTTCCTGAAAAGTCACCGGAAGCTTCATTACATGGCCAGGCATAAACCTCCAAAAAGTGATCTTCGTCTGGGACTTCCCAAGCAAACGCAGAAGCTGATTTAGGAAGGAGGACTTCCCATGCTGTCATGGGTAGACCACTTTGCCGGAAATAGACAGAGTGGCTGGAATGATTTTCAAGCCTGAAACGATGAAGAGAGGAATGATTAACAGATTTGGGGAAACAAAGAATTATGTTGGAGAGTTCTGAAAACCAACAACAGTCCTTTGGTAAACCAGATAATAGAATCCTCACTCACTTGAATGGAAGGTGAAGACCTCCGAACCGGAATGATATAATATGCTTGGACGTGGCCCCTCCAGACCGGGCGTCTATTCGAATGAAGTGGCGGGAATTGTCTCTCAGCAGTCGTACAACAGCGATCACCTCAGCATCCACAGAAAGCTTGAGCGGATAGCTCCACTCGGATAAACTAGTACGAACCTGCAACGTGCAGAACATCACAGCACCATATCAGAAAATTTACCAGAGTCATGATGGCAAAGAAGTGAAGTACTAGAGCGTGGGCCTGGCAGTCACACCTGAAATGTGTCCGCTCCAAAGCCCCGTGGGTAAACAAGTGGCCTGTGCCAGTCAGATGGAGCCAACTCCGTGATATGCTCCTCTGACCCTGGTGGTCTCACAAACACTGGTTCTCCCAATCGATTAGTGAGAGTGAGCAAGGGCCGGACCTTCAGCACCTGCACACAAAAGAAAGAAAAACGTTGGACAGCGTTTGCATGCGTTTGGTCTTCCGAGGTGGCTAAAGCTGGAGATTTTACCTTTGTAGCTTGAGAGCCGAAAGGGCTGACGTCCATGAAAGCCACAAGTGGAAGATATGAGCCATCAGCTGCTGTGGCCTGTGAGTCACACATAGTGCTCTGCAGAACACAGAAACTTATGTTCAGTGCTGCTTGCGCCCATATGGCGCATATGTGTGATTGGCAGACTGAATGTGATGTTCCTTACCTGAGACTGAACAGTTGCAATTGACAGGTCTGGCCCATACTCCTCTACGCCTCCTGCTCTATCCAGTGCAAAGCGAATGACAGAGGTGTCATCACACTTAGACAGCATCACCGTGCTTCGCCCCTCGGGCCCCACGTGCACCACCTCATCCTTGTGAAGTTGGCTTTGCAGCAGATTTCTTGAAGTTTTACCATCCCACTTGCGGTCTGTCCATGCCCGCTTGAGGCTGTGGAAGGAACCACTAGCTATGGCAGCAACAGAAGACCCATGAGACAGGGAGAGGACCAAGGGCGGGCAGCCAGCTGTGTCTACCCAGCAGGGAACTGAGAAGATGACCTCCTTCAGCGTGCCAAAGGTGGCAGACCAAGTCCGATCAATGGACACTTGAAGTTGCCTGAAATGACATAACCGGAGGAAGGTTTCACAGGTAACACTTAAGGAAGCAGGCCCAAAAATCGCTTACAGGAAATCCAGCGAACACATGTACCTGTGCGTATCTTTATGCATCAGAGTGACATCTGACGGAAGAGGCTTTTGTGGGTGAAAGATTGTCAAACGCTCCTGTTCAGATACACTCAAACGGGGGAAAGGCCAATGTTACTTCCACAGGCTGCTGTATTGATGCATGAAGCAAATGCCTGTGAAAACATCTCACCTCAGACTCGTCTCGTGGAACCCACACATCACAAATCTTCAGACACACTAGAAGACGACCCTTTGGGTGCACAGACAAGATGCCCTTCTTGGCTCCGGGTTCCAACACCAGACCATCTTCCTTCAGCAGAACATCAGTTGATAGGGGATCAGAGCTCCAGATGGACAGAGTGATTGGCTCTGGCAACAAGTTGCAGAAAGTCATGGGCGCTTCTGCAACAATCTCCCAGTCCATGGTTGGGGTGAAGTTTGAGCGCTTGCTTAACGGGGTGCCGATCGACTCCACCAGCATCCAGCGGGTTTCTGGGTGCTCACTGTCTGTTGATGATCGCTGACAGGACAACAACTCTTGAGTCTTTCCAAGGGTTAGCAAAGGGAAGTCTGAGAAGGGAGGAAGCGCCTGCCTTGAGGTGGAGGTGTCCTTGATCACCTTTGATGCATGCTTATCAACAGATCCCCATGAAAATGGGACGGCAGTGGTTGCAGACTCGTCAGACGGTGCAACATACGGCCTGATTTGGATGCACGGGTCAGTCTGTTCTGTTGATGAAGGTAGGACAGGAAGAGGAAGTGCGCTGCCTGGTTCGACCAAGCCACAAATAACTCGACCAGGTGCTTTTGCGAGTGGTGACTGCTGCCGAAAACGCACCCACCGCCTCCTTCGGACAGCATCGGGAAATCCTTTCACCCGACGTGCAGTGCCTCTGGGTGGCCAAGATGCCTCCAAAAAGCTTGGGAAGTACGCCCACCCATCCTTGTCCACATGCTCAGAAACTTCAATGTGCCAGTCGGAACTCCAGATCCAGCCAGCAGGCAGCTCAGGCTCCTTGAAGCACTACAGGACATAGCAGAAATGTCATGGTAAGTATACATCGGACCAAGTTGCGTGGTGCGTAACAGCAGCTTAGGGTTACCTTTGAGGACGACTTTGATTTGAGGTCGCTCCAGCCCTTGGGGTCGATAGGAAGAAGGTTTGAGGAGCTCCAACCCAGGAAGGGCAGATGTCTTTCGTTCTCAAAGATCTCAACAACTTCAACTTCTACACCACCACCCTCATCCTGAGAAGCACCTTGCCTTACTCGTTCTGATACAGCAGCATGCACGGTAGCGCGGTCGTGCTCATCACTGGAAAACTGTGACAATAGTGAGCGTGGGCACAGACAGACCTCCAGTGTAGCCTCTGTCTTGTTCACTAGAGCCACCAATGACCTGACATTCAGATGCTTCTCCCCTTCAACCATGGACACTTGAACAGCCAGCATGGTGCCACCCAGTTGTTTGGGAACAACACCACCGCCATAGACAGAGTTAATGGGAGACCATGGCCCATCCTTTGTCAGTGACATCTGAAATGGCTGCCACTGCTCCCGGATAGGCAAGTCCGAAACTTCATCCAGAGGTTCCAATCTTCCATCAGCTCCAATCTTACCAAAGTGGTGGAATACACTGAGCTGAGCAGTGCCATGGTCGCTAGACACCTGCAAATAAAATCATTCGTTAAATGCTGACAATCCACAGAGGACGACTTGCTGACCCTGTGACGATGACGATATAATGCACACTTACAGGCTCAAGATTGGAGGAGAGCCAAGAGTGGCCTGTGGTGCAATTTTTGTGTTCTGTCATATTCACATCAGGCTTCACAGCCCAAGTGAAACTGAAAAGAACCAAACCTGCAGCGATAAAAAATGAACAATCAGCTTCTACAAAACCAAGTACAGGAAAGTGAAGCTCATGATGGACATACCTCTGACAGTGCTTCGTTCCACTACAACACACACCGCCTCTCCTTCCTGCAAGTAGAGTTATGACCTTCATAGGTAAGATGCTAAGAAAAGGAAAGGAGAAACTTAAGTTGCAGCCACAACTTTACCTCTAGCGTGCTCTCGAAAAGAAAAACCTCGTTCCAAGAAACCAGCCACGAGTTCCCAGCACTTGCAGGAACCTTCATGCTTGTACGTGCATGCTGAGCACACTGAAACCCATTGACATTAATGGCTGAGGTCAACGAGACAGAACAGACAAGCTCCTCTGGATTAGAAGCCAGCTCCTTGGGAATCTGCAGCGATTTCAATGGGAGAAAAAGCTCGTATGTTAGAGTCTACAAAAACTGGTAGCTTGACTCTCAATTAACAGACATAAGCATCAACCCACCTGCAAGTCGCCGACACCAAATGCGAGAATGGAACCACTTTGGACGCCGCTGTGATGCTCCGGTGACGGATGTAAAGAACTGGTCTCCGGTGGCACCACAATGCAAGCCTGGCTGCCAGACGGCAAGCAGAACACTCTCGCCTCCAACTTTTTGTCCACCACTCGAAAGAATAGATCAATGCCAGATGAGTTGTGCTGCACAATGTAAGCACGCCGCTCCGTTGCATGTGTGTACTCTTCTGTGTCCCCTTCCTCATCCTTATCATGCTCGATCTGCAGTACACAAAGGACACAAGGAGAGAAAAATCAAGGTAAGTAAACCTCTCATCAACTAGCAAGACATGTGTCATAAACCTCGAATCTCACCATGTGAATGACCCTTTCTGCATCCTCCTTGGCTTCTAGGAGCTTCAGCCAGTCTGCGTACGCCTCTCCAAAGTGATTCACGTTCATTGACGATAGATTGATGTTCACCTTGCTGTTGGACACCACTCGACAAGTTGACAGTGGTGGCTCAAGGCCATCCTTCCCAGCCAACTCAGCCCTGCACCACATCGGTACGCTCATTAGAAAATAGAATGACGTGTTTCCAGAAAAGAAAATGAGGATAACATCTCAGGCCTTTGAATCACTGACAAAAGCATACCTGACCATCCCATGCCAAGGCTCCAAAAAGGGCTCCCATGCATCTTGCTGATTGTTGAAGGCATCCACACTGCAGCCAGAGGAGACCTGATGGACATCACTGGTGCCATAGTAGAGAGACTTCACGACCAGGTTGTCAAGGCTTATCTTGACAAGTGGACTCATCTGGCAAGCAAGACATGACCACACATTCATTGTAAAATTCCTTCTGGCAAGTAAAGCTGAGTGATAAGGAACAAATGACCAGCATTTCACGCTCACCAGGCTCCCAAAGTCATCGAAGAGGGTGACAGAGAAAACCGGTAATGAGACGTCAACATACACTCGTGAGACTGGCTGCTGCTCATCCAGCACAAAGATGCCCAAGCCAAGGCGCCGAGGTGGCCCTTTTCGACCCTTAGTGGTGACCAAGAAAGACCCAATCTGCAAATACAACACACATCCCAGATATGAGGCTCGACCTTATTGGGACTGAAATCAACCTATTTTACAGAAAATACAGCACACAAGCAGCTGAGAAGAAGTGAATGCAGAGCCATGCCTGATAAGCACTCGTATACCTGATTCTCGACAGGCCAAAGCTTGCACAAGGGCTTTCCCTTGCGTGAGACCAGCTCAAAAACTGGAGCAGAAGCGATTTTGACAGGCACACATGCATCATTCCGCACACAACGGAAACTATCTTCGGACGGAGCTGTTTTCCCCGTAGTCACAACCACTCCCAAGGAGCTGTAGCCGGGTGGTGGAATTGCTGACCAAAAAGCAACACTGTCTTGTGTGCCTTGAGCCGGAATGTACTTCAACAGCTTCCATCTTGATGGTTTCACAAGGAGACTGTCATCAACCTCCTCAATGATAACACTGGAATCTGGTGGAGAGCACCTGAAAGCCCAAAAACAAGATCATAAGCGTGCTTGAAAGTTTGACATCACTTGTGGAGGGATCAAACATTGATACGGGTGAGGAACGATAGAAGCAGTAATGAAAATCAGCATGCTGAGAGAAGAGAGCAAGAGAGAGAGAGAGGCGCTGGCTGCGGATGAGCTGGGCATGCGGGGGCCATTTGCCCCCCTTAGCGAGGGCCAGCTGTACCAGCTGATAGAGCCCCCGTTCGACCTCTAGGGCCGGACGAAAGGGGGCGGGAGATAGGGAGGGTTAGGATCTAGATAGGATGCATATTTTTGCTTGATTGGTATGCTTGTGTTTGCGTCATCTCATGTACCCCCCCTAACTAATACAAGGACCGTTCGAGAGAGAGGAAAAAGATATTTATGAGCAGAGTTATACCCGGAGTGGATGACATCGCCAAGAAACGCAAAACCTTCGGGACAGAGGGGCCTCCACACAGATATGGCAGTGCTAGAAGTCTCTCTGCGTGACTCCCAAGCAAGCTTGAAGAAATGCGCTTGTTGAAATCCTTCTTGCTGCCGTGACGAGATTGCCACAGAGGGAACTTCCAACGACATTGAAGCCTCCACTTGCTGACCTGTAGCCCCAGCAACAGCATCAACATCAAGTGGCGATGATGAAAGATTGCTGGGTGTGTTTGCAGGAAGCTGATAGCGCAAGTCGAATGCAAAGGCACAAGCAGCCTCCTGTTCCTGTCGGGCAGAAAATGTGTTCAATGCATTCTCGATCCTCCAGAGCTTGAACGATTGCAAACCGTCATTCCTGCAAGCAGGAGAACGAATGGGTGAACGTTTTGGAGCCTGTGTTTGAAGCATCAAGGCGTGTGCCACAATTGATGCAGACACTGTACGTACATTTGCACCGTTATGCAGCCACGAAGTGCTGCAGGACACACATGTGACGCCTCTATGCAGTACACAGCAGACGCTGAGGGAGGCTGTGCTCCTGGATGGGCAACACAACCTACAGCCACAAATCCAGGGGAGGAATTGGCTCCCACACAGAGCACTCTGGACTTGATGAGACATCAGATTCCTCCTCGAATGACCATATCTTCGCAAATGAGACTGGCCTTTTCAAATAGTCGCCTGCCAGGCTGACAGCTAACACCCCTCTGGTTGGGGGAGCATCACTGCCATGGGAAGAAAGCACACTGGTCAAAGGCAAGCGCTGCCACCTGATTCGAATACTAAAGAAACATACAGACTGTTAGGGTCGAGCATGCTGGCATCACTTACTCTGTTGTCAAGCAGTCACCCAGCACAACAAACCCTGGCGGCGCAATTGGTCTCCAAAACGAAATCCTCTGCATGTCAGACCTTCCTGCAAAAACAACGAACTATCTGTGAACCTTGGTGCCCTTTCACTGAGTCATTCCGAACCAACAGAAAGGCTTTTTCACTAACCTGCATAGGCCCACACCTTCTTGAACTGCAAGCACAAATGTTGAGGCTTTTCAGCAACACTGTACACGGAGCTCATGTACTTCTCCTGCATCCTCAGGATGATCTCCAGCGTGTTGAGCGTGATGTGGGTACGCAGATTGGAAACTGAAAACTGGATGTCCGTGTAGCCTGTTGAGGATGTGAACCTCATTCTAGAATCAACAGGCTCTATCACGCACAACCCTGAGCCTGTGCTGATTCCGGATGACCTGACTGCGACGTTCACCTCTGACATGCCTCGCACAGTTTGAATGCTGCATCAGGACATAGAAGATAAGATTACAATACTCAAACCACAAACATGGAATCTGGCAAAAAACAGAAAGGGCTGGTGGATGAAGTCAAACCTGACATAAAGAGAAGCCTTGAGCCTCAAAAGGTTTTCTGGAGAGGATAATTTTATTGCTGCCCATCGTGCCTGATCTATGGCAATCAACTCCATCCCAATGACCTGTGTACGCAATTGAACCACAGATAATACATCAGATATGTGTCAACAAAAGACAGGTGCAACATGTCTTTTACCAGAACATGGAACACAGAAGAAACTATTCACCTGGAGATTGAACTTCCAATGCCCAGATGATTGTTCAGGCACAGGCTGGGGAGTTCTGGGCTTGTCAATCTGCTGAGAAGGTCGATCTTTTGGGCGCATCGGCAGCAATCTGACACCATCAACTTCATCAACTGAATAACTACTTCCAGCTCCCAGTTTAATCACAGAGGCAAGCCATTCAGCTCCCTGCATGCCGGGTTATCATCAGTAAACAGTTGCTTGGAAGCAAAAATAAAGACAGAAGAAAATGCAAAACGTTGAGTAACTCTCACATAGATGTGGACGTTCTTGAAGCGGAGGTGTTTTCCCGGGCCAACGATGATCAGAGGCGCTTCAGCAGCAGTAGCTTCGGTACGCTCAGCACACACCAATTCGATGGAACCCTCGTTTCCATCAAAAGTGAAAGCTGACACTTCAGGCACATCAGCAACAAGTGGCCTCTGAGAGGAAATCTCCAAGACACCAGGTGCTTGCTGAAGCGTGTATGGTGTGTGAAGGTGGAACGCATCTCTCCATTGGGGAACAGAGGCAGATACAGCTTCGACATCCTCAGAGCGAGTGAAGAAACTTACAAGGTGGGAGATGAATGGCGGAGCCAGCAGCAGCCGAGGGCGTTGAATCCTAAGTGACAAGCTCTGGACATCGCCTGTGAACTGAGATTCCAGAATCAGCATCGGCAGTGACGGATGGATATGCTCAGCCCCACTTTGTTCACGAGGAAGCAAAGAGAGATGAGTTGGCCAATCAGCAGAAGATGCACTTTCAGATCCCACTGTTGTAATCACTCCTTCCATGTCATCCACAGTCCCCAAAACCCAGCGCTCCTCTGTGGCAACTCCAGGGGTCAGATCTTTGATGAAAACCTGGAAAATAGACAGAAACAGCTGCGAGATGCCCCCGCTGTGCAGGAAGTGGCGAAGAGATAGATTGGAAACCTGCCGAAACATTGTTTAAGGAAATTAGTCAGGCTCACAAGTTAAACCATAACGAAGAATAACCTCTTAAACCGAAGGCTTTACCTGAAGCTTGGAGAATGTGGCTTCACGTGAAGATCCTTCATACAAGAGGAGTGCAAGGGACTGGATATGGACAGATAATTTCATATCCACATGCTTCAATGGTGTTACAGAGGCCACTGGAGTGGAATCACGTGCTGCAGTGGAAACCAAGGTCGACCGTGGCATTTCCGAAAAATTTCCAGAAACACAGTCAAGAACAGTTGCATACTCTGCACTGCACATTCCTCCTTGGAGATGCCCAACCTGCAGGCACAAAGCAAGAAAAAAGAATTTCGTACAACTCCTTCCACATATTCGGGACCAAAAACAAGGCCAGAAACGGGACCAAGCCAGTAGTCACCTTCACTGAGATATGGCAGCCAGGCATGAGGCCAGTCGGATCGCCCAAAGGTCTCTCAATAAACACCTGAAGGCCCACAAGCCTCGCGATCATATTGTCAGTGACATGACCCTTGGCCATCGTATGCAGGCGAATGCCATCAATCTGTTATGGGATGAAGTACAACGTCACAGAGAATCAAAATATTAATTAGAAAAGGTCGAACACAATGGCGTAAAAAACAAGGCCTTACCTCCACTTTCATGACATCCAGACTAATATCGTGAATTGAGTTGCCATCACCAAGCAGCTTCAAGACTTCAATCGAATTTGAAATCTCCAGCCTTCCCACATCAAACTCTAGGTATCTGCTTACATTTAACACAAGAACAAGTCACGGAAAATAGAGCGACTACTCGAAATCGAAATAGCACGGACATACATACTCTTCGCTTGAGGAAGATTTTGGAAGCAGCAGCAGTAACTCGCCAAATAAGATAGCGAGCTTGATTGGTGTTACTGCTGTTGCATCAACAGCACGTGCAGACGGGTCTTCAACAGATTCAGGAGAATGAAGAACCTGCTCTGTGTCTTCTTCGGGTGGTGGTGAAAGCCCGGAAAGGTATGACGTAACCTGAAAAATAGTTTGTCATAGCCATGAGAATGGGTACTCGTCAATCAACAAGTAATAATAGCAGCAGTAACACTAAACAGATGGCAAACAAAGATTATTTTGGAAATCGCCACTCACTTCTTGAATAAAACGGTTGAGGTAGACCATTCGAATTTCAGAAGTCTGCACGCTGAGAGAGTATTCGGAACCACCTCCATTTGAACTAATGCTGGAGCTTGTCAGCGTAATCTGCACTAAGACAGGGACAAGGAGGTCATAACGATGTCGCAACCAGGAGACAAATAAATGGCTCACAGAAGGTATGGTTACCTTCGCAAAAGATTGGCCTTCAGAGCTTCTTGGGGAAAACATCAGGCCATATTGGTGCCCTTCACCCAAGCTGAGGTCACAGATTCGCAGCTGACCAAGCTCAGCATCAAGCAGAAACGAGCTTGCACAGACCTGCAAGTCATGTCTGATTCGTGAGAAGCTAGTTCATCGCAGCTTGAACGTGAGCAGAAAGACTTATGCAAACTTCACCTGTAACTGGAACACAAGCTTCTGTTTTGTGAGCACTGCTAGGGGAAGGCCATCATCTCCATTCAAAGTGACCCGCAAGTCCCCCACACAAAGAGTCAACCCAAAAAGTGTGCTCTCGTTGTCCTCTGCTACCTCTGCCTTCACTGGTAGAGAGCTAGGATCTGCTGCACTTCCAGGTTGTGACTTTGCTGGTTCGGGTACAAAAGTGGGCACAGCGGCCATGTCTAAGGACACTCCAATCAGTGCCAGGATAGTGGGTCGGTTGCAATAAAAGCTCAAGCCACTCAGGTCCAATATTAGCTGCAGAATAATACGAGCACGATTAGGGACTTATTCAAAGTAGTGCGGACAACACGGAGGGGAGTAAAACAAATACCTCAGCATTCACGCCGGAAAATTCTGGAGAATCTGGAACGCGCATGATGTACTGGACTTGGACAAAAGCAGTTGTTCTCTTCCAAGGTCGATCCAGCAAGGCAGGCCTGCTTTCAAGAGAAGGAACTTCATCGGTTGTCAGCGGCTTATCTCCACCATCCACTGGAAAGTCCACAGCATCGTAGTAGTCTGACATGCTCCAAAAGCTCGACCGGTGACCACTCGTTTCTTGCGATGGATGCGTCGGAAATGACGATTCGTCCGCATCATGAAACACCTCACTTGTCTCTTCCTTACTCAATGACCAGTCCTTTGACATGCTGGGGTTTCTCAACATCTCGCTTGATTGAGCAAGAAACCGGCATGCCGGCCCAGCATCGCACGAGACAAGATCTTTGACTTCAAGCGATGTAAGAGCTGCTCCAAGGATAAGGTCAGAGTTTTCAAGGAGAGTGGTTTCAACCTACAGGTGGCAATTAATGAATCGTTAGTATGTTGTCGTGTCAGTTGAAGAAGCACTGTGAAAAGGGGAAAAGAATCAGCTTCACTCACCACAGCACTTGAGGCATCAAGAACCACAAGAGGAGTCTCAGTCACTGAGTGCTCTGGAAGGTGATGACACTGAACAGCAGATAAAAGAAACGAGGTTAATGATAGTGAGAAACAAAAGTATCACCCGAAGTTTTAGTGCACTACCTTACCTTCCCATGCAATGTCATTCGCAAAGTACCCATTTCTCCAACAAAGAACACCGCCGCAGAATCAGCTGGTCGGACATGTGGCTGGTGTTGGGACCCCAGCGACGAGTCTTCACTCAACTGAGACAATGCTGCTTCCTGGACATGTGATAAAAAGGCTCATTAAATATGCACAGTTTCTGCATAAGAGCATGAACAGCACCTGGTTTGAACACCTACAGAGGCTCGGTGAATGGCAGAACGCAAGATGGACTTCCAAGCTTCATAAGCTTCCGCAGAATCTGGCTTGAAAACCAAGGCGGTTGAGGTCCTCACAGCCTGCATATACCAAACCAGAACCTCATCAAAAAAACATTTGCAATGGAAAGCACGAGAGCACAGAAGCTCCTCGTACCTTCTCCTCAGTGCAGCCAGGAGGACCAATCACAAGGGCATTCTCCAGCCCACTGGTGACATTTTGTGTAAGACAGAGAAGAATCTTGTTTCGAAGGCTGCATTGAAGCAAGTCAGACTTAGTCATGGTTGCGGAAAGAAGAAGAAGAAAAATACTGAAAGAATGCATGCTCCCACCTTATCCGCTGCTTGTAGGAACGACTATTTTCCAGGGGTAATATGTACAGAAAGGTCCCAGCCACAGCCCCCACCCTCTTTTGCCAAGCAATTTCAGTACTAGATATGCCCTACAAGCCACACATACACATCAGTCAGCATAATAACCTTGCCAGTGTCAATGCGATTTCTACTCACAATGCACACCTGTCTCATGAGGATATGGATGCAGCCTTTGTAGTCAGCAGACTCCCAGGGCACAACAGATGCAGTTTGGGAGCCACATCCCCGCAGAGCCTCAGCTGATCTCAAAAGGCAATGGAGTATCTCAGGAGAAAAGTGAACTTCCAGAGATGGAGCCCTTGCACTGATCCTCAAAGTTGGAAAATCAGGCTGAGGTACCCAGATCTGCATGGACGATAACGACAAATTAAATTGTCTTTAAACACAACGAACCAAATTGTGAAGGAAAAAAACGCATCCTTACCTTTTCAATTGATGACACAAAACTGCAGTCTTCTAATACAGGAATCGATTTCAGTATTTGTGATTCTCTGGCTGCAGGTTGATGCCTAAGACTGGCAGTGTTGACAATCTGGAAACAGGCTGAAACGTTTTCCAATTTGGCATGGAACTTCATGTACAGGTCCGAGGTCGTGCTTGATGTGGATGCGTGGTTTGGCTGCAATACAAAAAAAAAAACAGAAATCATTGACAGGATAGAGTAGAAGCAACACCTAAAACCGTATATGCCTTGACCCACCTGCGCCCTTGAATTAAGGAAAAGGTGGCCAAGATTTAACACCAATCTGGTGCTTTGGAAGCCTTCAGACAGAGGTGGGACTGTGATTTCAGGAGCAAACACATCAAGGACAACCTCAAATCTGCAAGCCACCAAAAAAGACAGAGATGAAGGCCGTTTCGACATCTTTTGGCAAGAATTAAGAAAGAGCTCAAAGCGGCAGCATATACCGGGAAACTGAGCGCATAAAGTTCGTCAGCTGTGCCTGGGCCTGGCGTTTGATCTCTTCAACAGTTTGCTGGAAAAAGAACAAAACAAACAAACAAACAAATAAACAGCAAACGTCAGAGGCCACAAAATGGTCGCCAACAGAAATGAAGCATACAGGGGAATGCTTGTACCTCAAAAGCGTCAGCAGTGTCCAATGCAAGAGCAGGACTCAAGGCGTCGCTACTCTGAAAGAACTCAATGATGCGGTCCAAGCTTGACTTGATGAACTGCAAACAGTAGTACATGTGGACCGTTTAACAATTGCCATTTTCTATTTACTTTGGCGAGATAAGAATAAATGCTGCATACCAGAACATGAGCCTGCTCAACTGAGCCATGTAATACCCAGTCCAGGTTCTGTCCCTTAGGATGCATCACACATAAAAAATCCAGGGTGTTCTCTGGTCCTTGCCCACTCCAAAAAAGTGCTCCCTCTGGTGACTCCACACAGTACGGTCCAACTTGAACATGGATATCTGTGGTTTCCAAATGCATACTGGATGCAACTTGAATCCTCTTGCAGATGAGGCTCAAAAGGGAAACGCCATGGGGATCCTTGATAACTGATCTGCTTTCCTTCACATGAACAGACCACCGTGTATGCACAATCTCAGAAACTGTGGTCTCGCTGTTTGTAGCCTCGGGTAACAGCGCTTGCAACTGAGTCCAGTCTTCAGCATCAAGGTGGGTCGGGAGGGCAGTGTTTCTGAACAACAACACATGACAAAAGGATTAGACATGGACATGAGCAAAACGAGGAAAAACAACAAATTTCATGCGCACCTAGGAGCTTTCCCCTTCTGTTTTTTCATTTCTTGTGACACGAGCTCGTGAGCGACAAGCCTGCAAAAGGAGAAACACCATGGTAATATGTGTGTCCTTCAAAAGTATGTACACATATATATGTATGTATAAACATAAATTACCTCCACTGTAGCAAAACTTCTGGTTCAACATCCGTCTCCAAGGACAAAAGCTCCTGATTCCTTTCAAAGGGCTTTTGGACAGCTCTTTGGAGAAGGTGCTTGGCATACAATGGGATGTATGCGTTCCTTATTCTGGTGCGGCGAATAAGCTCATTCCAGTCCGTGAAAGATCTGCAATCGTTGCGTTGAATAAGTTAGTTCTGAAACAGACTAATCCGTCATACACAAAAATAAGGGTGCACGAAAAGAACACAGGCTACGGCACCACTTACCGTCCCTTCTTTATTTTCTTCATTGTTGCCTTTATTGCAAATGACCACCATGCTGAAGGACATTCTTGAATGCTGCACGAAGGTCGGATATCAGCCAACTCTTGTCGGCGTTGGGCAGCTGCAAACTTGTCAACAAGCTTCATAATCAGCCGATACTGGTCCTGCAGTCATCAGAATCGAACTGTGAAATGCTGCTCATTGCAAAACACGAATCCATATTTTTTGTTAACGAATGACCACAGAGATACCTCTGAAAGCGCAAACGAAACATTGTCAAGCGTCACTGCAAGATCTTGTTGAGGGGAGCCCGAGGACGCAGTCTGGTTCTTTCCTGCACGACTGTATGATGCTGATCCATTCAAAGGCTCGACCAGATATTCAGAGGTTGAAAACTGCCAGCGATCACTTGATGCAGTCTGTACCACCAAGACACTGTAGATTTAGTATCCAGAAAAACAAAGAGGCAGACAATCTGATGGGACACACGCCATACCGTCATGTCATTCGATGATGGCTGGCAATAAACTGATAGACCATGCAGCTCCAGTGCCTGAAAATCACAGTTTTGTCATGTCAACCTTCTCCCATATGCAAAAAGTACCATGCTAGTTCAACTATCAATCACATACCTTTCGAGTGCAATCAAGCTCTCCACCGGACACGTAAGTCTCCTTAACATCCTTGTCAGCGGAAAAGGCAGCAAGCCTGTCAAGTTGGATTCCCACAGCTGCGGGTCCATGGATTTCACTGAAAGACAAACAAAGAAAATTCAGTAGCAGTTGCACATGATGAAAGGATCACGCTAGCGTTAACCACCTCAATGAGTCTTCGTATCGAACGTGAATGTTGGAGATGCTTAGCTTGAGGTTCCCGATCACACCATCCACAATGGTGCTCAGCCAGGTTCTGGTATCTCCCTGCATGTTATTGAGTAAAACAATAGTAGCTACTATGAACAACGTGCGACCACAATTTCTCCTCAGGAAACGCTGGATTAGCACTTACGGTGTCTTTTCCGACGCTGGCATCGCGTCGAGACAGGATCAGCTCCTCTGCATCCTGAAGAAAAAAAAACGCTTAAGACGAGGGATTTTAAAAGGGAAGTAGCAGGATGATATGCTGATGCTTACTTGAACGCGCTTGCGCTTGGCGTTCAGAGCTGATGCCGGATCAAGAAAGACAGACTCGTTGGGTCCAAGTAAAAGCTCAAGTCCGTTCAGATGGATGACAATGGATGACCTTCCGAGGCTCTTCCATGGAATCTGAGATCATATGACGAGACAAAATGTTACAATTCAGGTACCCGTGACATCTGATGCTATTCCTGCTTGAAACGGGTCGCTGGAATCTCTCGACTAACCTGAACGCGCAAGGCCTTCACGATTCCTGACTTTATTACGACTGGTAACTGCAGGCGTCTAAGCGCTTCAGGTCGCAAGCTAATATTCTTGAGCTCAATGTCACCTGAAAACCCAGGAATCGCTAATAAGATCACTAGTAAGTACTAGCTTTCCACACATTAATAAGATCGCTAAAAGATAGTATCTGCATCGTCTGCGGTAAAACTGAATCCACTCTTATCCCACCTTTCCACACACTAACTTTCAGCGCTTCCTTCGACAAACCAGAGAAGTATTCCCCCAAATACTTCTGCAGTATCGATGTCAGTTTATCTTCCAACATGGCTAGTAAGCAATTTGGCCGAGCACGAACATGCACAAGGGAACATGGGAACGGAGAACTATCAGTGAACAAGGCGGTAGATGTGAATTTGCAGACTAGGGCTGGTCTGAATGGGACCATCAAAGAGCAATCATCCCCGTTCTGGCGTTCCCATGATTGGTTTGGGTGTCTGTGCTGTTACAAACGAAGCCTGACAAACAATTGATCGTGTTTCTAGTAACGAACTTGTCCACAGCATGTCCCAGACTGCCAGGGTTTCGCAAATATTTTCTTCTGCATAAGTTAGAATCCGATGATTGTAGCGGTTTAGCACGGTTTTAAACGCTTGAAATGTTGTTCTCCCACATACCTCCGTGTGAAATGTTTGCCCGAAGCAAAGCCTCTTCTCTTGTCGCTCGTGAAGTTCCGATCGACATAGGTATCGCACATAGGGCAAGTAGTCAGGTCGCAAATATATCGTTCGTCGTACAAGTTATTCCTCGTTGCAATGCGATGGTTCTGCAGAGCAACACGGGAGCTTCTTTTGTGTCTCCATCTTCCTTAGAAAGAAAAAAGTAGTTCTAGCGCCACAACATGGATGGTGAGACGGAACGAAAGATCGCAGCACTCATTCTAGCTGAGGCCCAGCGGCTCAAGGCAAGAGCTGCTGAGGAGGGCGTCTGGGCGTATCTGAAGCCGCATGTTCGGTATCGTCCCAATTCGCAGTTCCTCCGAGCTACCGTGCAGAGTGTTGAGTATGGTGAGCCTTTTTTAATGTCAAACGTCACATCTTTCACTAATCTCAGCGTCAAAGTGCCGTTTCTGAGATCATCTGGGCGGAGTGGCACCTTTTCGTATCATCTGCACGTGCGTTACGCACTTTCCACCACCTGTTGCTCACTCTCCCCGCTATATTACACGCTCGCAGTCTAACCCCGCTATTCGAATTGTATCATTATCCATGCATCCGTTAACATAGACTTATTATTTTTGAATGCTCGCCTTCGTGAACTTTGATGTTAACAGCTTAACGCACGGTCGACGTAAATAATGTGTATGGAGCGAGAACCATTGTACCCGTCGAAGTAAAATTGTCCAATCTTCTGTCTTCTTGAACCCTGATTCAACAGCCAACCGCGTGGCGGACGTGAACGAGATGTGGAAGGAGCGGGAGCTGGAGCTTGCAGAAAGCCGGAGAGAGACACGCGGAGATTCAGCCGAGCGACTGATGACGCCCAGGGATGCGAGGGGAGGAGGCAGCGTGCGGGAAGCGCGGAGAACGCAGAGAAGTGGCGATGGCTGGAGGAGGGAGCGAAGAGAGGGAAGCAGGGACGATTGTCACTGGGAGGAAAACAGGGGGATAAGAGACGACGAAGAGAAGGGCTGGCGAAGAGGGGACGGGGATGGACGAGCTTGGCGAAGAGGGAAAGAGGAGGAAGAGGGGCCTTGGCGGGGAGGAGGAAAGCACGAAATCAGAGGAGAGGACGGGAATAGAGGAGAGGACGAGAGGAGAGGACAGCATGAAACGAGAGGAGAGCATGAGAAGAGAGCCACACAGAGAAGGGAAAACGTGAGGACCAGCAGTGGTAGTTCTAGGCAAGAGAGGCAGATCTCGCCTTTGCGACGAGGACACAGAGGGAGCAGTAGAGAGCATTGCAGCGGTGATGAACTCGAGGCACAGAGAGATCAAGGGTGGAATGCTGTGTATGGGGAAAACCGCAGCAGGAGTCCATATGGAAGTGATTTTACACGGGAGAAAAGACGGTTCGGAAATGAAGGCACGGGTTTCCGAAGGGAGGGGAGGAATGGAGAAAGAGAGGACAGAAGTGGAGGAAGAGGGAACACGACCTTGTGGGAAGACGAAGTTGGTGATGTCAGTAGCGACAAACGGAAAAGATGGGAAGGACAGGCTGGAAGTGTTTATGCAGCGAGGTGGGAAGGAAGGAGGGATGTGGACGGTGAGATAGGCTGGGATGAAAAAATTTGGCGTAGTGACAGGCCAGAGTTTTGGGGAGAGGATGATTACGAGGAAGGTATGAGAGATGAGGGACGGGGAGGAAGGAGGTCTGTTCGAGTAGGATCGGATGGAAAAGGCAGGTTGAGGTTTAAGGAGAACGGTCATGATCGGGGCACATTCCCTGATGATGGCCCAGTCCATCGAAAAGGTGATGATTATTGGGAGAGACGAGGGCGTGAGCCTGTAAAGGATTATAGGAGAAGATATGGGGGAAGACATGACACGGAAGAGAGGCGTGTTGGACAGGAGAAGGAACAGAGGTTGGATGGGACATGCGAATATGACACTGGTATAGGAGATGCTGGGCACAGGGAGACGCTAAGGGGAAAAGAGCACAAGAAGAGGCCGAGGCAGGATGATGGAGAGGGAGTGGGTGTGGGCAGCTGGAGCGATGCCGATGCGGAGCAGAAGGGCATTGACGACTCTGACCTTCTTACTTTCCTCAAGACTAAGTGAGCTCCTCGCCTACACCGAATGACTAATGTTTTTCTTCTCGCTCCTCAATTTCGCCCTCCCCCCCTTTACACCTTCGTTATGGATTCAATTACAGAGGTCAGCAAGTCACTTTGATGCATGCATTCCATGTTAGGTTGTGCAGTACTGATAATGAAAAGCACATTTTCCTTTTCCACTATCAACCATGTCCCCTTTTTAGCCATTTCAGAATCCCTCCTTCTTGCCTCTGGTTCTTTGCTATTCTTTCTTTGCCCTCTCGCTGTGCACTCCAGGGCCAAGAGAGGCAGAGGAGCCATTGGATCCAGGGCTGATGCATGGGGATCGGAGCCACCTTCTGTACTCGCACCTGTGCAGGGAGGCACAGAGGAGGGAAGTGGAGCAGTGAGCATGCTGCTGGCGCGAGTGAGGGAGGAGTGGGTGGACAGCGTGGTTGCTGGGAAAGGTAGAGGGCTATCAGCCTCATGGGCAGCTGCTGGCCCTGCTGCTTTTGCTGGTAGTGCTGATGTTGCTGGTAATGGTCATGCTGCAGGTCGAGTTGGTGGTGCTTCTGCTGGAGGGGCAGATGGCCGTTGGATTCGAGGCGTTGCACTGGATGAGTGGCCTCGTAGAACCGCTGCTGGTGCTGCTGGTAGCAGTGGTAGTAGGGGCAGTAGCAGTAGCAGTAGTGGTGAGAGAGAGAGTGGCAGTGGTGACACTGACACTGGTTCGTCAAGCAGTGCAAACAGCTCGAGTTCAGGTGAGAGGAGGGCGAAGAGGCGGAAGGAGTGCAAGAGGAAGAAGCAGAGCAGCAGCAGGCATAGGGTGAAACGGGAGGAGCACAAGAAACGACGAAAGGCAGAACACTCGACAGAGCGGAAGAAGCGACGCCGGCATAAGAAAGAAAAGCGAAGGAAGCACAAGAAAGGCTCAGAGTAGCGGTAGGAAGAAATCTTCATGTCTTTGTAATAAAATTCTGGGCATTTTGGCCACAAAATTGAGCTGCATACCGGTATCTAGTGGCCCTGCATGAAACTTTCTTGACCTTCACACTTTTGCTAGACATTACCTATACAGGTCATATGTTTGTGCTGTGTGCCATCATCCGGCATTTCAATCAATGACTTGTTCGAATGAATACCGTAATTGGTTGGTTGGCAATCTAATCGTGAAGTTCTTTTGCATGCCCAGGGGGAAAGCACACAGTATGCACAGTGTGTTGGATTGGAAGTACAGTTAATTGTTTCTGTTAAAACTCCTAACTCCTCTAGCGAGTATGGAATGGACAACCTCCAAGATTTATGTGGGAAGTTTTTCACCTTTTCCTTCTCTCTGCCATCCCCTTGTGCGGTAGGCATAGCTCGTATCAGTCACACGCAACACCGATAGCGCCTGAGCCGTTTCCTGGATTCGCACTCCGGCTCACTCATATTGTGCCCTGATTCGTTCCTCTGTTTACCACGCGAATCCTTCAATCAGATCCTTGAATAATTATCTTTGCGAAAAGTCAGCAGCCATGCCGAACGTCGACTGTAGAATGTACGAGGCGAAGTTTCCAGAGGTAGAGCAGGTGGTGATGGTTCAAGTTAAGAACATCGCCGATATGGGCGCGTACGTCTCGCTTCTTGAGTACAACAATATCGAGGGTATGATTCTCTTATCGGAGCTGTCCCGTCGTCGCATTCGCTCTATATCGAGTCTGATCAAGGTCGGCCGGCAAGAGCCCGTCATGGTGGTCCGCGTGGACAAGCAGAAGGGTTATATCGATTTATCGAAGCGGCGTGTATCGGAGGAGGAGGTGGCGGCGTGCGAGGAGAAGTATAACAAGTCCAAGATGGTCCACAGCATCATGCGCCACGTGGCAGAGACGTCCGGCGTCGATGTCGAGGTGCGAACGATCGCACGGTTCAGAAGTCCGTTGTCCGATTCTACTGTTGTCTCGCTCGTTCTTATCTCATCAGACGATCCTTTGCAGTATTTGCTTACAGCGTCCGCGCTGTTAAACCCTTTTCCCTCTATTCACCCATTGCAACTTCCGCTGTTTCTTCCGACTTGTTGGCCCCCCTTCGACCACCCTTCCCCCTCTCCCTTCCCCCTCTCCTCCCTCCTATTCCTCTCCTCTCCCCCCCCCCCCCGATCCCTTCCCCCCTGCCTCCACCCTTCCCGAATATCGTCGTCGCTGTGCAGGAGCTATACACGAACGTGACGTGGCCGCTGTACCGCAAATACGGGCATGCGTTCGAGGTGAGAGCGGAACTACGCCTGCTGCTGGGGGTTCTAAAGAATTGAGCTTCCCGTAATGACCTGTTTGCAACAAGTCGAAATGAACCGGTTAAGAGACATAGGCGTGAATTGCAGAACATTCTTGTTGTCAGAGAGAGCTTTTGCGTGAATCGGAGCAGCTTTATCGAGTGCATTTGAGGAGGTGGGTGGAGTGCATGAGATTTGGGGATCTGGGCCGTACTGCTTTATGTGCCCTTGGATCAGAATTCTACTCAAAGGGCATGCCCTTACCAGTTCCTTATGCTCATGGGTGCTGATACGGTTCTGCATGATTCATCATGCTGGGTGCATGATTGTGTCTGTTGACACATGATCCATGACCCTTGAAGCATGACCAGTGCCTTATGACCTATGACCCATGATGACTGATGACCCATTCACACCCATAATCAACGACCCATGGCAGGCGTTTAAGCTGGTGGTGACGGATCCAGACGCGGTGCTGGGGGGGCTCACCAAGGAGATCACGGAGATAGGCGAAGATGGCAAGGAGGTCAGTTAAGTTATTGCTGGGAGCGGCAAGGGGGTTAGTCCTCAGCCATACAGTTGGGACTTATGAAGCGCCTCGAAAGACGAGGTGCTGGGGGGACTCACCAAGGAGATCACGGAGATTGGCGAAGACTGCAAGGAGGTCAGTTATCGCTTGGGATGCTGCAAGGGGGTTAGTCCTCAGCCATACAGTTGGCAAGGCTGCAAAAGTTGGTGAGGTTCTTTCCAGTGCTGAAAGGAAACCATCTTAGGTTGGTTGGTGTAAAGCTTGTGGGTCATGCTAGACACTGTTGATTCTCACATCCTTTTGGTGTCACGTCTTTGTCTTCCCTTCTCTTCCCTGTTCGCTCCCTCAACCTCTCACCTCTCACTGTTTCACCTCTCGCTCTCTCACTCCCACCCTCCCACTCTAACCTCCCACACTCTCACCCTTCCACCACCCTCCCACCTCCCCACCCGCTGTGTGCGTGTGGCAGGTGAAGAGGGAGGTGCCAGCAATGCCGGAAGACGTGAAGGCGAACCTGATTGCCAACATTCGCCGCAGAATGACCCCGCAGCCCCTCAAGATCCGAGCTGACATCGAGCTCAAGTGCTTCCATTATGATGGCGTGCTGCACATCAAGGTACACCTCTCTGGACACATCTTGTCTCCCCCACCCCCACCTCCCCCCCCCCCCCCCCCCCCGCCCCGCTCTCGCCCCTTCCCCTGCCCTGCCCCTGCTCTCTTACCAGTGTTCTATGCACCGTACCGAACCGAACACAAGTTATTCTGCCGTTTATGCCCCCATTGTCGCCTCTTCCCCTGCCCTCACCATGCCCTCTCTCCAGAATGCCATGCGCTGGGCGGAGCAGGAGAGTGAGGAGGACGTGAAGGCGAACCTGTTGGTGTCATCACCCTGTTGTCCTTACCCTTGCTCCCTGTTTGCCTTCACGTCCCTTTTCCCTGCCCTTCCCCTGCCCTTCCCCTGCCCTTCCCCTGCCCTCACCATGGCCTCCCTCCAGGACGCCATGCGCCGGGCGGAGCAGGAGAGCGAGGAGGACTGTGCAGTGCGCATTGTGCTCGTGGCGCCGCCGCTTTACGTCCTCACCACCTTCACGCTCGCCAAGGTGGGCTTGCTATTAGGCACTCTCCTCATATGTGAGATAACCATCCTTGTTCTACTGTGCTTCAGAGCAGTGTTCACTTGACTTTTCATGCCTTTGTGATTGACAGCGTTTTGATTGTTCACTCACTCAGCCCTTGGTATCCCCCTGCCGCCTCCTTCACCCAATTCTTGCAACAGATGTTCTTCAGGCCAGCACAGCAGCAAGTGACTTGTGACTCAACTCATCTGATTGGCCTTTGCCCTTCTTCCCACTCTTGTCCTCCTGGACACCCAAACCTCCCCCCTCCTTGTTGCTGTCTTTCAAAACGTGTGGTGCGGGCAGGAGAAGGGCATAGCGGTGTTGGAGCGGGCCATCAGAGTAGCTAGTGTCTTGTAATTCGACTAATCCTTTGCGTTCCCCTCTCCCCTTTTCCACCCTTCCCCCCGGCCCCCCACAACGTCTGGTGCGACCAGGACAAGGGCATTGCAGTGTTGGAGCGGGCCATCCGAGCAGCGAGTGAGGAGATCGACAAGCACAAGGGCAAGCTCACAGTCAAAGAGGCTCCGCGCGCGGTGAGTGCATGGCGCGATGAAGGATCAGTGTGGGGATGAGTGCCTAGTGTTAAGGCACGGTGCCTGGTGTTAGTGCCTAGTGTTATGAACAAGCAACGTGGGGATGAATGCGCGGAGTGGGGATGGATTGATAATGTGCTCCAAAAGGATGATGACTACAGGATGCGTGCCTGCTGCAACTGGCGGTGATTAGTGCCAATGAGTTGTGGGTAAGTGAGTAATTGGTGCTTATTCTTGTGTCCTCACTGGCAAAGCGCTGGCAGAATCTGTGCTCCTACTGCATCTCTCAGCACCTGGTTCCCCATTTCTTCTTCGCTCGCAACTCCCTGGTCCTGACCGCTCACTTGGTAGGTACCACACCCACCCTCCCCCCTCCCCCCCCTCTTCTTTGCCGCTCTTCCTACCCAGGTGGGTGACCGTGATGACTGGTTGCTGACAGAGCACATGCAGTAGCTGTTCCCTTCAGGCTTATTCCCATCTTTTCACCATCACTCCATGATTTTCTCACTTCTTTGCTCCTATGTCTTCCCCTCCTCCCCACAGGTGAGCGACCGCGATGACCGGTTGCTGGCAGAGCACATGCAGAAGCTGACAGATGCCAACGCTGAGGTGGATGGTGATGTGGACAGCGAGGATGAGGATGAGGGCATGGGCTCCGTTGACCTTGACAACGCCGGTCTCACTGAATAGATTACTGAGTAAAATCAATCGAAGTATTTTTCAGGTGCTCCTTAGGATTATTTTGTGTCTGGGTGGACTGTACTAGGCGGTTAGGTTAGGTTACATGTTGGATGTTTAGGGTAAAAAAAATGTGTGATGGGAGCTTTTGCTGTTGCAATGCACTATCTTCACTGGCTGATATTTGCTTATATCCTGTGTCGAAAGCTGTACAATGATGCAGATGCACTGCATATGAGGAGAAAAAATATTTCAGAAACTTAATATGATATTTCGTACTTTCTATAACGGGTGCGTCACTGGAACCCCAAGCTCGGTCCTATGACCGACTAAAATCGTGCGTCAGCTGCAATGAGAGCCCTTAACCGAACTGAAGCTCGTTCCGCCCAACTTAATCCCATCATATCCCATTCCTGCTAGCTTCTCCCTGCTTCCTCCCATCTTCCCCATTTCGTGTGTCTGTTTGCTGAATTGCTGTAATTGCCCTTCACTGGCACTCACCACCACGGAATTCTCTTTCTAAACGTTAGGCGGTGGAAGCTAAAGCTGCTCCGTGCTATTCTTCTTGATTACGACCAATTAGCGGGAATAGCTGCTTCTCGCAACTGTGTTCTAGTATACCCTGCCATTCGTGGCCATTCGTTCTTGCCCTACAACCGCACGGGTCGAACAGAGAAACTTGTCAACGCATAAATTTTCTCACACAGCATTATTGGTCCACACATTCGCCCATTTGTAGCGGCTGTGTCTTACACGGCGGATTCTGACCGTTAGTGAGAAACCGGTGGTCGCAGACTTTCTCTTTCTGCTGTTAACTGAAAGGTGCTCGGCCAGACTTTTGAGTCGACTCGAAAGGAGCTCGGCGCCATGGATCTCTTATTCGGAAAGAAGAAAACGCCATCAGGTACCGTAAGTCCAACCTTAGCTGCGGTGTAACCAACCTCGCAGCTGGACATTGAGTCCAACGGGATGTGTTCCCTCTTTGTCTTTGATGTCTTCGTCCGAAATCTGACTTACTCGGTCTTCACAATTCCCTTGGATTGCGATGCACATTCCGGCTTGAAGTCTCTGCCTGTGCGTACCTCTATTCCTGTAACGACTGCGGGCTTACACCTCGCTTTCTACTTGTTTTCCACCAATGCATGCCATCAAATTATATGTCGCGCGTTTCATGGCGAAATTATGGAGAAGTCGCTGTCCTTGCTCCACTGCTTTCTGAGCATCTGATTGAGACGACTTTTGAGGCGCCTCAAAAGTCACCTGATAGAGACGTTCCAGAAGCACAAGCGCATGAGATATTGATTCTTGGTGCTTTCGTTATGCCTGACGGGAGAGAGAACCAGTGGGAGAACAAGCGCATGTGAAATCACATCACTGCACGGGCCTCCCCCCTACTTTCCCTGTGCTTTCATCTTCCAATGCTGTCTTCACACCCTGACCAAAGATTCTGGGCGAGATCAAGTGCATGTCATATCATCGCGCTGCCCTCAATGCTTTTCCAATGCTTTCTCTCGTGAGTCTTGCCTAACCAGAGATCCTGCGGGAGAACAAGCGCACGGTGGACCGGTCGATTCGGGGGCTGGATGGTTTGTGAAATTCCTCAATAACCAACTCATATCATTTCACTGTCATCACTGCTTTCTCGTTGCTTGCTTCACACCTGAGCAGAGATCCTGCGGGAGAACAAGCGCATGCTGGACCGGTCGATACGGGAGCTGGACCGCGAGCGGGCGCAGCTGCAGCAGCAGGAGAAGAAGCTCGTGGCTGACATCAAGAAGTCGGCAAAGCAAGGGCAGATGGTGAGTGCACCCTGTGGTGAATGATGATGGAGATGATGTGTCTGGCGTAGATGCTGTTTGCAGCAGCAGGAGAAGGAACACGTGGCCGATATCAATAAGTCGGCGAAGCAAGGACAGATGGTGAGTGCACCCTGCTGTGAATGGTGATGGGAGATCATGTGTTTTGTGTAGAGATGTTGTTTGCAGCAGCAGGATAAGGAGCTCGTGGCTGACTTAAAAAAGGTCAGCGAAGCAAGAGCAGATGGTGTGTGTGTGCCTGGAAGGAACAGGGTGAACGCATGAAATCCACACATGTGTATGTCATGTGCCACTTTGAAAAGCACTTCACACCTGCACCGACAAGGCGTCCTGCATGTGTGCACATGCAGCACGAGCTCCATTGCCCTTCATCCCTCCATTCCCCTCCATCCCTCCATTCCCCTCCATCCTTCCATTCCCCTCCATCCTTCCATCCCCCCATTCCCTCCATGCCTCATTCCTTATCATCCCTCCATCCCTCCATGCCTCCCTCTATTTCAGTTCCTCTCCCATTCTCAGTCCCAGTCCCATGCCTCCTTCTTCTCCTCATGCATATCCTTCTGTGGAACAGGGTGCGGTGCGGGTGATGGCCAAGGATCTGATTCGCACGCGACATCAGATCACCAAGTTCTACGGGCTCAAATCGCAGCTGCAGGGCGTGTCCCTTCGGATACAGGTGAGAGATTTCCGCCCAACTCCCATCCCATCGGCCAGGCTTTTCCCAAGGTGATTTGTTTGTTTGTTTTTTCTTTTGCTCTTCTCTGTTCATGACAGCTCATTATAAATTCAAATTAGCGCCACCATTTGCACGTTCCTCAATCATCTTTTTGTTCATTCATCTCTCCGCCTCATTGTTTCTACCCAAGCTTCACTTCCCTCCTCACTCCCACTACCCCCATACCCCGTTCCCACGTCCACCCCATCTCACCCGCGTTCTATTCCACTTCACTCCACCCTCCTGACCCCCCTCCCCCTTTGTGCCTGCAGACCCTCAAGTCGACCCAGGCCATGGCGGATGCAATGAAGGGGGTAACCAAGGCCATGCGATCCATGAACAAACAGCTCAACCTGCCAGCTCTGCAAAAGGTGCGCTGGAAGAGAGTCTACTACTCCTGTTGAAGCCTAAACATGATATGGGAGCCCTCTCTTGGACTTGCGAACTTCTTAGCCTTGCATGATCAAAGAACTGGTTCTGTCCTGTCCTGTGTGAGTTGATCTGTTTCTCGTTTCAAGTTTACACCTATGTTCAGCCATTGCCTTATTTCTGATTGCTGGTGGCTGTATCCGGGGTCTTTCACCCTGCCCCCTACACATTCTATGTGAACTTTTGCACATTCGAGGTTATGCAAGGGTGTGAGTGAGATGGCCGATGAGCTTACAAATATGGTACTAGAGGGGCTTTGAATGGCATGGAATCCCTGATATTACACTGCCCAACGTGTCGTGTTGTGTGTGTGGTTGCATGTGTGCGTTGTGCTTGCGCATGCAGGTGATGCGGAAGTTTGAAATGGCGAATGAGCGCATGGAGATGAATCAGAGGCATTGAGCGGCATTAGTTCCTTGCTTCAACACACCCTGAACCGATTTGGTACACTTCCATGTGTGTGTGCATTTTTTGGTGCAGGTGATGCGGGAGTTTGAGATGGCGAATGAGCGCATGGAGATGACGTCAGAGGTGATGGGCGACGCCATAGATGATGCGATGGAGGGCGATGAGGAGGAGGAGGAGACGGAGGAGCTGATCAACGAGGTGCTGGATGAGATCGGCATCGACATCAACCAGCAGGTGAGTGCTCCCTGCAGTGGCACTGCCTGCAGCAGTTGTATGTTCAGGGTTTGGCGAGCAGGTGAGTGCTCTAGTCAGCTCGACGAGGAGGAGGAGATGGAGGTGCTGATAATTTGAACTGCTGGATGAGATCGGCATCGACATCAACCAGCAGGTGCGTGCTCGCTGGATGGTCTAAATCTTTTATAGTCAGCTCAATGATGATGAGGAGAGAGGAGACGGAGGAGCTGATCAATGAAGTGCTGGATGATATCGGCATCGATATCAACCAGCAGGTGCTCGCTGGAGCAGGTGGGTGATCCTTGGAGCTTGCTGCATGGCCAGGAGGCAGGTGCTGCTTGGAGCATGCAGTGAGGGTGCTTCTGCCTTGTGCTGTCCTGCATGCTGCCCTCTCGAATCCCACGGCACTGTCCCGCTGGTTGGCTGATTTGCGCTGGTGTGTTTCATGGTTTGTTGTGGCCTCACACATGCCTGGTTCACATTCCTCCTTTGCAATCCTCGGCCACGGATCGTTTCACACCCTATCTTATCCTCCCATTGTACCCTCCTTCCACCACCCCCTCTTCGATTATCAGCTCATGAATGCGCCAACACCAGCAGCCCCGCAGGCACAGACAACAGGCAAGGTGGCACAGGCAGATGCAGTGGGTGCTGGTGGGGGCGGCGGAGGGGGAGGTGGAGGTGGGATGGGTCGTGGTGGTAGCAGCGGTGGTGATGGCGGCAGCAGTGGTGGTGGTATGCCCAGTGCCCCATCAGCAGCCCCGTCGGTTGGTGGTGCGTCGGATGATTCCGGGATTGACAGTGACTTGCAGGCACGGCTAGACAACTTGAGGCGGTTGTGATGAATGTTTTTAGTGTGCATTGTCTAGATTCAGAATTGGTCAGTGTCTAACGGTATTGTAGATATGCTGCATGCTTGTGCATGCTTCAAAGTAGCAATGTAAATGTTGGACATTGTAAGGTAGTCTGCCTGAATTGGATGAATATTTAGCCACCTATGTATCTAGTTCTGACTACACTAAAGAAATTGGCGCTACATCCCCAAAGTTCACGATGGCTGAGTTTTGAATATTTTGCTTCCTGTTTCTCGCATGTATGGTGGACTTCGTAGGGCACCTAGTCGAGGTCCATATCAGTGAGGATAGTCTTCAGAACGATCATGTCGTCTGGTTGACGCCAGCCCCGAAACCTAGCGGGAACAGACAAGCGGTACCCCGTTCTCCTCCAGTGCGCAGCTGTTGAATGGTGTGCTTGCCTCCAGCTACAAGCTAGCCCACTCATGAGAAGCATCTGTCGAGGCTCACGAAGGCTTCGTGACCTTGTGTCTCTGAAACTTCAGTGTAGGTCGAAGCGTCGAAAGGGATGAGAAGCTTCAATTTTGGTTTTCTTTTAATTAGTCCGAGGATGAAGTGAGGATGAAAATAACTACAGTATGGTCTGGTAGGATGACCTTCTACGTCTTTTAGAAGCTGTCGGAAAAACCGTTCCTGGATTACGTCACTTCGCTTATCATTCTCGTTTTGAAGCCATGCGACCAGCGACGCAGCAGGAAGAGGCGTTTCTCGAAATGGAGGAGGAGATCGAGGCACTCGGGATTATGAATCTCGCGAACGATCCACCGTCGATTGAAGTTACCGAAGAAGTAGAGGTCAGGCTTTCTAGATAATCCGCCATATTGTCATAACCATTTTAACGTGAAGGTGCATTTATCAATGTTTTGCCTTCGCGAGGACGGCAAGCGGAGAAAACACAGTAGGTTACACGGGAGTATAAGAGAGGCGTTTTATTCTGTTAAGCTATGCACATTGTTGCGGGATATTACAACTGTTGGTCAAGTAGCTTGTACGTCCATTTGTTAACGTGATTTTTGTAGTGTGAATCTTTCTGATGGCTGATATGGCTTCTCTACTTTTAGCGTGTCTGCTTGCTTTTTTTTACAACGCTTGTTATCCATCTTGCAGTTGCGCCAACCTAACGGTGTCTTGATCTTCTGATGCTTCGCGCTTTAGACCTTAAGCCGCATCCCAAGTTCCTAGTTTTCTCCTCTTCCCCTTTCTTCCTGTTTACATTTCTGCTTTTTCTTCCTGATAGCTGACTTCAGACATTCAACCAAGAGGAAGAGTTGAGAAAGTGGAACGAAGCTCAGCTTCAGGTAGGTATGGGCCAAAATCCATCATTGGGGCAAGTGTGTTGTCAAATGCAGAACACTGACTTTAACCATCGGTTCGGCTAGAGGTTGGCACTAGAAGCTGCTTGTCTCGTTGATTATTTCTGCAAATTGTCTGCACAGGACCGCCTGTGCATGGAGGCGGAGGAGCACTTCGGGTTTGAGGAGGTGGCAGCAAGGCGGGCTCTGGAGGAGCTGTACCGGCCATATGAGAAGAACCTAGACTTCATGCGCACAGTGCAGAACGGGTGAGAGGGGGACAGGGCAGGGTGGGTGGGAAGAGAATAGTGCAAGACGGGAACATTGTGCTCTTAAATAAAGTCGTTGAAGGATGAGAAGGTGGGGAGAAACTCAAGACGAGGTACGCAAGCCGCATGAGAAGAAAGTCATTATTCGTTAAAGGAGGAAACAAGGAAGCTCTCTTTGTCCTCCTCCGCGCCACCACTGCCGACTTGCTGTTGCAGCGCTTTCCTGCTGGTGGACGAGCAGCGTGCGGAGCGGGCGAGCTACCGGGAGCTGGTGGTGCTGCGGCATGCAACTGAGCGGCTGCTGCGTGTGGTGGACACGTCCATGCACTCCGTCATCCAGAGAGAGCGGTGAGAGGAGAACGTATGTTTGTGGGGGGGAGGGGGGGGTGCGGGTGGAGGGTTGGGGGAGGAGAGTGTACTGCTGCGTGAAAGTATCTGTGTGCTTGTCTGTGAGAGACGCGTGCTGGGGGAGAATAAAGTGCATGTCTGCGAGTGTGTGGTGAGTAAAGTGGGGCGTATGTCGGCACATCAATGAGTGAGGGAGAAGAGGAAGAGACGGAGGAGGTGAGAGGTATGTACACACCGTTGCATGCACGATGCAGTGCCTTTCATTTGAACTGCTGTTGAAGTTCATTGTTATTCATCTCTCATCAAATCCTCCTACACTGTCTCCCTTTCCTCCCTCCCGTCCCTCCCGAGCTTGCCAGGCATGCAGCACGCAGGGAGCTGGCAGCAGCGCAGAGGGCAAGGCGAGAGGCGGAGGTGAGGCAGCAGCAGTGCGGGCGGCTGGAGAGGGAGCTTGGCGAGGAGAGGAGCCAACATGCTGCCGTTGCGGCTCTGCTGGTGGGTGCCATCTCAAGGTGCTTCTGGTCGTTGTTGGTGGATGTTGCCTGCTGCTCTGCTTCCCTGCCTCGTTTTCTTTCTTCTCTCTCTCTCTCTCTCTCTCTCTCTCTCTCTCTCTCTCTCTCTCTCTCTCTCTCTCTCTCTCTCTCTCTCTCTCTCTCTCTCTCTCTCTCTCTCTCTCTCTCTCTCTGTCGTTGGCCCGACCATTCAGACTTTGCTGTCTAATTCGTTCTTCCTTCTTGTGTTGACGCTCCTTCCCCCAAGCACTCATTTCCCCCTTGTTTCTTCTGTGTTTGTGCTATCTCTGGCGCTGGCTTTTCCTTCATCGCTCGCTTGATACTTCTGCTGCTTGCATGGTGGTGTTCCATACACCTTAGTTGTCTAAGCGTCGCATGGAATGGTGCACTGCAGATGATGTACATTTGTTTTCCCATCTGCCTGCCATCGCTGTGACAGGAAGCGGAGAGGGATCGCAGCACGTGCCGCATCTGCTACACCAAGGTAGGTGTTTCTCAGCTGTGGTCTGCTCACCCCCGTTGCTTTATGCCCTACGCCGTTCCTAATATTCCACACTGTACTTCTCTCTGTGCTGTGTGACTAGTTTTCTTTTGTCTCCCTGCACGCACAAGAAATTCATTTCATCAATGCAAGAGCGATGAGCGGGATTTGATTTTGTCTGATCACCATGTAGTTTTTGTTACCCTGCCGCTGATTCAGTTAGTAGCGCCTTCTGGTACTGAGTTTGTGACCACCTAGAGCACATTACCCCACCTATTGTTTTCTTTCTTTGGCGCGCCTTGCCTGCAGGAGCGAAATGTGCTGCTTCTTCCCTGCAGTAAGTGCCTGGCACTCACCACCACGTTTTGCATACTCCTCACAGGTTCTTCTGCACATTGCCACATGCCGCGCTGCAAGTATTCCACTGTCCTTTCCCCGCACTTCCTCCCTCACCTCCCCGCCTCTATCCCCCTTGGCTCTATGTCTGTGTCGTGCCAATCCCCTGATTCTCCAGTGCACTTCCAGTTTTGCGGTGACTGCATGGCACAGCATCGCCAGCAGAATAACAGCTGCCCTCTCTGCCGCTCCCCTCTCAGTGGCCTGCTGCACTGCCAGCTCCAGCGATAAGGACTATGCCAGGCTTGATTTCGGCTGCATTGGTCAAATAAAGCCTTCTCAGCTACTGACTTACTGACCTACAATACGCTCAGATCTAATGCACCCATTCATGCGTACTCCCATGTTCCTAAGGATGATCCTTTGTCAGCTGGTGTAACGTTTTCTGGTAGACCTTGACTTGTCAGATTCAGAATGCTGGAGCAGTGTTGTGACTGGCTACAGCAGTGAGCCCAACTTTGCAGATGTCAGCAATATAATAAACCCCAGCTACATTATATCCAAAACCCAACATTCAAACTCATCCACCCAAGCATCCCACAAACACCCTAGAAAGACACCACAAAAGGAGCACACCCATGCAGAAGAACCAAGGAACCAGCATCAGCATATCGCCCATTTAATTTTTATCCACCCTAGCAGGTACTGTGGCTCCCCCCCCTCCCAGCCTTCACAGAAGCCCTGCCCCTTGTTGCTTGGTGCTACTCTTGCTGGTTCTGCAGGGAAGGCGCGAGCTGGCAAGAGTCAGTCCCACAGCACGTGCACACGGCGGCGAGTTGGGCAAAGCAGGTGCGGGAATGAAGGCACTAGGCAACAAAACGCTTGTGAATGTGCAAGTGGCTAACCCGTACCTGTCTATCCAGCTGCACAGGCTGCGGTGTTGCCCCTTTACCATAACGCCGTTTCTTCCATGAGATCCCCTATGCGCTCCTTCTTATCCTTAGAGGGAGGCTTCGGGGGAGACTTCGGGGGAGACTTCTGGGGAGGGGGGGACCTCGGAGGGGACTTGGCGGGGGACTTCACGGGCGCCGATCCCGCATTTGTGGTCGCACTCGTCGACTTGTCATCCTTTTTCTTCCCAATGCCAAACAACTGCAGCTTGCGGTGGCTTTGGTCGTACCCCGCCGCACTACTAGGCTGGGAGGAAGTCGCCGCGCTGCCTGCCGTGATGACGCCTGCTGTGCTCTCCGCAGTGGCTTCCGCCCCTGAGGTGCGGATTGAGGGGATTGAAAGCAGCCACATGCCACGGTTACAAATGCCGCAAAGTGCCACGCTCGTGCTGAGAAATTGCTTACAAGTGCCGAGCAAGTGTTATGTCACAGGAGTGTCGATAATTTGTCGAGCAGCGGACGAGACAGAGCAAAAAAGGGTGCTTTCAGACAATTGTTGAAGCTGCTGCTGAGCTGCTGCAGCCGAGGCGATGAAACCGAGCGACTGCATGCTCTCAGGCGACTGTTGTGGGCGCCAGGGATGGAACCTCACGGCCTTGGTTTGGGTTTCGCGGTGGAACGAGATTAACACGGGCGGACCTACCTTGTGCGTAAGAGACGCATGAGAGCGCCAGGGCTGCAGCGAGGAAGAGCGCGAGACCGAAGGAGAGAATGGAGCGAGCCATAATGATGCGCTAGACGTGATAAAAAGTTGGGGGAGATTGAGAACTGAGCGCTAAAGGACGAATAAAACGCTGGTGCTTACAGTATGTTTATCTGCGGACTTTATAGGCGAGGTCGGTCGGTTTGCGTCCCGGAAAAGAAGCTGGTCATGCGATCGGGAAAGCGTCATATGCGCTGCATGCTTGTCGCCGCCAAGCGCGCGATGTTCATTCGCAACAAATTTGGTTTCGCTGTTGCAGAAAACGAAGTACAGCGGCACAGTGGTAGGAGAACGCGAGGTATGGGATTTCGGTACGGCGAAATGTGGTTTGTTACATATACGCAAAATCATGGCAATTATTCGTTGTTCGAACAATTTCGGAGCCCCATTGGCTGCCGCAAAGGCCGGCGGAAACTGATAAAATTGTTGAAATTCATTGTGATATGCACTCCAAGAACGGTTTATGTAATGAATATACATTCATTACTGTAGAGGCTGCTCCTAGCGAGGACAGCCCGAACAGTTCGCGTCAGTTTGGGTTCGGCCTACACTTCCGCACCGAACCAGTTCCGAGTCGCCCCGCACCAATCGCGACATTTCCAACCTTGCACGTCACGAGGTTCTCGCCTAGCACGTAGTTTCCGCCCTATATTTGCTCGCTTTCTTCATTGTTTCGTCATTCTGTAATCACTTCTGCTTTATAGTATTCTTCCACGCACTCTGATAGTACAACTCATAAGACTTGGTATCAGAGCTACTTTCCTAGCTCACCCCGCTTCTTAGAGTGTATTACCCCTCCGGTGGGGACAAGGAAGGATGCAGTGGTGACAGAAGCAGCGCAGTAGCCGACCAGGAGAACGGGTAGTTGTTCCTAGCGGCCATGAATTTTAACAGTCTTCGTTTTCGTCAGCTTCGGAGTTAATTCAGTGTAGCGGCTGACGTCGGCAAGATCGTCGTCGGCGCACGTCCGAAGTTGTCAGAAGCAACCGTGGTGCGAGTTGACGTTTTTCACGTGGTCGTCAATTGCGCGCAAAGAAATCGGAACCGCTGCGTGCAGCAAGTGGCGTTGGGCGTCTTCGTCACGTTGCGCACGAGCTGGTGGACGTCTTACGCAAGTGACATGCGGCATCACTGTGCGCGAAGATTTCGGGTAGCAGCACGTGGAAAACGACTGCTGGTCAAGCAGCCAGGCGCAAGGTGATTTGCGTCAGAAAAACCGACGGCGACGAGAGACGGCGTGGCGACTGCCATAAGAAAGCGTGGGTCTACCGTCGTCCCGCCCTGGTGCAGCGGCGTTTCCGTAGGAGGGTGCGTCGTGGGCGTTTTTTGGCGGGTGCGGCACAGTGTGAGATGGAAGTTGTTCTTCAAACCACCGAAAAGTTCGAAAAAAAACCGCCTACGATCAGACTGTTCCGGCTTGGGTGACTACTGTTTCTGGCACAATGATAATCGGCGAAAATTTCGGAGCAACAGTGGCAGCCGATTCTGCACTTCATGCGGCACAGTCCCCTCCGGCCAGGTGCACCTGTGTTTGCAGACAGCCCAGTACACCACGGAACAACGATTTGGTGCAATGTCTAGACCCGCGATTTTTGGGGGTTCTACCAGCTACAATTTACGGAGTTGCGACAGATATGGGTCCGACGAGGGAAACGGGTTTCGGCTCCAGGAGGCGAGAAAAACGACCTAGGGGAAGTCTTTTTGCTGAGGCCGCGTTTTGTGGCTAAGCGGCGGTAGCAGATTGAGCTCCCTACCGGCCAAAGTTTTACGACGTTTCACATACCTCACACCAGGTGCCTCGAAGACATTTATAAGACCTGTTGGCCCTGGACGAATAAAGTGGGGCCCTGTGTTTAGCCCTGTGCTGGTTAGAAAGGCACGGGTATTGCGCTGGTTCGACAGCTGGGCGTATAAGAAAATTTCAAGGATGCGATACTGTTCGGCCCCGACAAAACCGGACCATCGGCAACGTTTACCCTTCCGAAAAAGTCGAAGCTGAAGAAATTGTGGCAGTTTGCGGTGGTTCTCCTAATTCAACGGTCTACCCAGGGACGGTGTAGCGGCGAAGACGGAGTCCCCGAAGCTGTGAAGTTTTTAAACGCGATAGGCACGGTGGGCAGCGAAGCGGCCGGGCGGGAGTTTGATACGATAAACTCACCCCGACTACGATTGCGTTCGCGCCTTCATCGAACGCCAGAAAAATCGCGGGCAACATAGAGTTATACCTCATCTGACAAACGCGGCTGTTGGGTGAACGGTGGCTCGTCGATATTGTCGGGGGGTGAAACGAAAAAATTGACGGTGGGAGACGGGTGAACGTCTGCTCGCTAGTAGAGTTGCGGTGTACTTCGAAGCCATATGGGGAAGTTCTACGGCGAGATTTGCAGCGTTGATGCGGGCTAGATTCCGTGAATTTCGGTCCCGAGAGACCCATAGTTCTGGGTTTCGCACGAAAGAGCGCCTCCTTTTGGTGGGTTGCTAGTGTGGTTAACCACAGGCGATGAAAATGGTGACGGGTGGGCACGCTAGATACACCGGTTCTTTCGGAGGACAACCTGTGGGCGACCAAGATTTACGTGGTGTGTTAACTTCCGACATTTGCGGGTACCACAAGCCGTTCGGAGGATGAGTTTTAACGGAGTCGGCGGGGTCGTCGACAATATACGTGCCAACGACGGAGTTGCAGTGGTGCTTGATTAAGCGCGTGAAAGAACTCGTCGTTGAAAGGGGAGCAGTACAACTTGGAAGTTGTTCGGTTGTACCAGCGACAATACCGGGAGAAATTTTGCTACAGAAGGGGGGAGAGGCGACAGCTGTTTGTTTGGAGAGTTCGGCGAGTCAGGACAACGCCGACAATGAAGCTGACGCCATCTGCAGTGAAGTTCAACTTTGGAAAAAATGTTTGCGAGGTCAGGGGGAGGAGCAGCAGCTGTTTTTCGCCTCTGCCCTGGAGTTTTCGGAGAATCACGACAAATGCCTCGGCGAGCCACAACAAGATCGCCGGAGGTGCTGACGTCATCGACACCTGAGTTCGTGTTTTTTTATGTAGTTTTCGATGGAGTTTTCACGACGACACTCGGTTAGTTACGCGACCCGCTTTCCTCGCCGAAAGTCGCCACCGTGCTAGAACGACTTCGCTTTGTACGGGACGGTCTTCGGCGATGAACTACAACGATCCGGAGTCGTAACAGAAGAGATTTTTGGGACGGGTTCGAGATTCCGCTACTAACAACAGGGTCGACAGGTTTGCGGCAACGACAAGACGGGTAGCAGCTGCTGCCAGCTGGGGATGCTGCAACAGTCAGGAGTTTTTAATGCAGCCACGACAACAAGACAACCAAAGATACTGCAGCAACAAGGCGATTTGATGCTGTCACGCAGTGATTCTGGGTGGTAGTCGATGGAAAAGCTGCAGCAGCAGTCGCGACAAAAAATACAACATGAAGGTTCATCGCTGGAAATTCTACGACAGGCTTCGACATAGTTTACCCCGGGTATTCTTCAGAGTTTTCGACAGTGGAGATTTCACCACCGACTGCAAATTTCGACAGCGCATCTGCTAAAAGCCAGGCGGGGGTCATAACACTTGGTATTCTGACACACCCTTGGCGTCAACCCTTGGTGCTCGGGGTTTACCCGCTTCAATAAATTTTGGCCCAAGATGAAATGTAGACCCTTGACGTTTGTGTTTGGTAGCGCTGGCTT